TGAGGCTAAAACTATCCTGTATTAGTAAATTAATTTAATAATTTAAGTAATAACTAAGTCAATTTAATATATTATAACGGCATATTCATATCAGATTCACTGAAAAAGTTAGTGGAATAAAATTGAATGATGAAAATAAAAATAAAAAATAAAGAGTATATTTTTACAAGGTCGTAAATCTATTCTTCTTTTTATCTTTTTTTAATATTGATTAGAAGAATTTAACTTGTTGTGAAAATAATAAAATAATCTTTTGGGTTTTGTGTTTTGAGGCTCAGAGAAAAAAATCTTTATTTTGGGGGGGCGAAGCACCCGTTGAAAAGTCTTGGGGGGGGAGCATGTTTTCTTGGATTTTGGAGGCTGGAAGCATTTTTCCCTAAATATTTTCAGTAGATATACCAGAAAATGTCAAAATTGAATTTTTCTTTACTATATATTGATAATACGACTGAAAAAGAATGCTGAATATGAAACTATGAAAGTGTAGAATACAAAGTTACGCTCCACTCAATTTAGCAAAGAGTTTAGGGTCTGTTTCGCAATCTTTCAAAATTGGACCAGGTTTAAGCTTGGTGTAATTTTTCCTAATTGAACCTAGTCAAACCTAGTCCAACTTTGAGGAGAACTCAATTTAGGAATAACTAAGCTAAAGCTGACCCAATTTTTCTTAAGTCAAAAATGTGCCCTTAAACTAATTCTATTTTTTACCACTTCTCCCTTGTTGAAAATAGAATCAGTTTAACTCAAAGCAGGATCAGGACTGATACTAACACAGTTTTATAAATTCCCAAACAGACCCTAGACTGGAAGAAACTTAAACATGACACAGAATAACTTCACATATCTACAACTACAAGGACATAACAAAATATAAATTTATATCTCTCTATACTCATCATACCTTCAAAGTTTTGAGATAGGTAAAATATTTGTTCTATATAAGTGATCCTGAATTTGATTTCTTTCATCATTAATGACTTGACTCTAGGAATTTTATCTTAATATATAGTGGAAAGAGATGTCACTTGTCTCAGGAATAGCATATGGAATCTCAGAGGATACAAATGCGCTTGTTACTTACCAAACAACTATTGAGCCCTAAACGAATCACATATTTATGAATCAAGTTCGTAAATTTAAATTTGTTATATACATTAATTAATGTAAAAATCTACTTATTCGAACTTCATGGATCCCATAACAGAAGAAAATACAATAATCTGATTGAAGACATTTGGGGGCTGTTTGTTTTGAGTATTTTGCCTCGGGGAGGGGGTGGAAAGCTGCCATTATGGCAGCTTTGAGGCAAAAAAACCCAAAACAAACAGCCCCTTGATAGTCTTGGGGACTACGAAATGATGACATTATTGAAGAGACTGTTGTTTATTTCAAATACACAAAAGAAAAATGTTTGTTATTTATTTTTAACCTTAGGTGTTCTTAGTATTTTTCAACCTTTGGTGTTCCCAACATGATTTAACTTTTGATGTTCCCAAAGTGGTTTATCCTTTGGTGTTTCCAATGTACTTTAACATTTGGTATTCCAACATGGTTCATTTATAAATAGAGATTTGATCTCCTCAGTTGATAACACTGAAAAACCTTTGTGCTCTATCTTCTTTCCTGTCAGAGAGAGATATTTGTTGTTCTTTATAGAACAGGTTATTGGAGTGCACATTAACGTGTTATCTGTCGTTGAATCCTGTGATGAAAGACGCCACTACAGCCTTTTGCACCAAGAAGGGGTGAAATCTTTTCTTAAGGATAGTGATTACACACCTTGGCAGTTCGCACACCTTGTGATTTGTTCCGGCCATAAGCAATTTCTTCAATAATCCTAAGAAATGAACAGTCCAATGGCTGGATCAGAAAATGGTGTCATCAACCTCGATGCTGTAACTACAAACTTCAATGGAGTCTCGACCATCGTTCCACAGAAGATTTTTTTTATCTGGGTGACTTCTCCCAAATACGTCGAAGATCAAACAGTTCCAGGGAGATCATTTCAAGCGCTGGAAGGAAAGGGTTTTTGATGCCCTTGATGTTCTCAACTATGTTGAATATCTCACCAAAAAGGAACATCTACCAGGTTCGGTAGATTATGAAGCAAAGCTAGTGGCTTAGCAGAAAGGTAACAAGGTATGTCGTCATACCATCCTATTTACCTTATCAAATGAGTTTTTTGATATTTACTTCTCAAAGTATGCAAGTTAATTAAGTCTTTATATGGATTGAAGCAAACGTCTAAACAATGACATGAAAATTTTGATAGTGCATTGTTATCCAATGGTTATCGTATAAATGATGCAGATAAGTGTGTTTACTTTAAAACATTTGAGAATCATCAGTATGTCATTATATGCCTTTATGTGGATGATATGCTCATCTTGAGCACTAGTCTTGAACTAATAAGTAAAACAAAAAAAGTTTTTATCCTCTCAGTTTGATATGAAGGATATGGGAGAAGCTGATGTAATTCTTGGGATTAAAATCCTTAAAAATACAGATGGTTTCACTTTGACCCAAGAACATTATGTGGAAAATGTTTCGAAAAAGTTTGAATATTATGATAGTAAGTCTGTGTCGACACCTTATGAGGCAAATGTTCAACTTAAGAAAAACAATTCACATAGTGTTTCACAACCCAAATATGCCCAAATTATCGGAAGCCTTATGTACTTGATGAATTGTACAAGACCTGACATAGCTTATGCAGTGGGCAGATTAAGTAGATACACCCAGTGTCCTAGTCAGGAACATTGGACGGCCCTAGAAAGATTGATCAAGTACTTGAAATGCACGATTAATTATGGACTAAGATTTGGAAGGTCTCCACTAATATTAGAAGGGTATTGTGATGCAAACTTGATCTTAGATTCACAAGAAATCAAGTCCACTAGTGGTTATGTGTTTACCCTTGGTGGGGGTGCAGTGTCTTGGAAATCATCCAAGCAAAACTTGATAACTCGGTCTACCATGGAGTCCGAGTTAGTTGCCTTAGATAAAGCATGTGCTGGGGCTGAATGGTTGAGAAACCTTTTAATAGATCTTCCCATTGATTCTACTCTGCATCCTTTTGTGTCTATGCATTGTGACTGTCAGGCCGCAATTGCAAAAGCCAAGAGTAATATATATAATGGGAAAAGTAGACATACGCAAGTATTAAGCAACTACTACGATCTGGAGATGTAACTCTAGATTATGTGAAGTCGAAATTAAATTTGGCTGCTCCTTTGACAAAACCACTTAATTGGAAGCAAATGGAAATTACATCGAGGGGAATGTGATTACTGCCTAATAAATAGAGAAAGATTGGCGGCAATCCTACCTACGTGATTGGTGATCCCATGAAATAGGTTCAAAGGAAAAAACAAGTCACTCCTTGTTTTGACAGTACTATCAATTTCTCTATGAGACGTCCCTACCTATGGTGAGATAGTACATTGTATACATATAGTATATTTTCATATATTCATATAGTACTTGATAAACTGAGAAAGGATTGAGTTAAGCTCTTAATGGAGAGTTCATAAGCCCAATTTGTAGCGATGTATTTTATACACACTTGATGGATATCCATCTATGTGAGTGTAGAACTAGGTCGGTTCTTATGGGCACCTAGGCATGTACTCTAGAGCACTCATGAAGCACAGGAAGCGCAGGGCCAAAATAGCGCACACCTGCAAACAACAATATAATGAAGGTGCAATGTGGGCATGATTCCTCTATTTCACGCATAAGGGATATTGGTTCAAAGAATTTATTCTACCATGTTTCTGCGAGATAAGATTCATTGTCCTAGGACTAGTTCAAGTCGAAAGGCACTAGTATCTAATATATTGTATCTTCGATTTTCTCTGACATTTTCTTTGTTATTCTTGGTTCCAAATGATGTCGAGTTTTGTGTATTTTGAAATAGTAGGGGATTGTTGTGTATTTTAAATACACAAAAGAAAAATATTTGTTATTTATTTTTAACGTTTGGTGTTCTCAATATTTTTCAACCTTTGGTGTTCCCAATGTTCTTCAACCTTTGGTGTTCTCAACATGATTTAACCTTTGATGTATGGTTTAACCTTTGGTGTTCTCAATGCAGTTTAACCTTTGGTATTTCAACATCGTTCATTTATAAAAAGAGACTTGATCTCCTCAGTTGATAACACTGAGAAACTTTTGTGCTATCTTTCTCCCTGTCAGAGAAAGATATTTGTTGTTCTTTATAGAACAAGTTATTAGAGTGCACCTTAACTTGTTGTCCTTAACTTGTTGTCCGTCGTTGAATTCTATGAGAAAAAACGTCACTGCAGCATTTTGCACTGAGAAGGGTCGAAATCTTTTCTTAAGGACAGTGAGTACACGTATCGGTAGTTTGCACACCTTGTGATTTGTTCCGGCCATAAGCAATCTCTTCAACAGATGACATATGTTTAATTTGTGATATAAAGCAAACGAGGGCATTTGTTCAAATGTTTGCGGTGGACCCAAAAAAATGAGTCCGGCCCCTGGACTTGGTCCCTGTCGGTTTTCGGGCGCTTGAAGAGTAAACAAATGTATAAATGAGAAGACAGCAGCCTGTAGAAAAATACCTTTGATGTTATTTTAGTACTTCGTTACCCTGATGTTTTCTAAACCTCATCCTTCCTTTATGAATTTAGTTCTCTTTGGGATAGTTAATTGCTGGAGAAAAAAGTCAGTCAAAATATTTATATGGAAAACCTGCTAGACATTAGAATATTCTCTACAAGGTTTAATCCAACCTTTGTTTTAAAAAAAATCGAACTAAAAAGAAGTCAATTATAACAAGTAGGCAGAATAATCAATTTCAAAACTTTCCCTAACAAATGTGTTGTAGGCAGAATATTATTTTGTAATAATGAGTCTATTTGGGGCTCGGAGGAATCTGGAGACTGAAAATGGAGGAAATTTCAAACTTGAAGAACTAATAATTAACTAAATGCACGCTCAACAGAAAAGTAAAGAATGTTACTTTCTCATAGAAATATAACAAAAATTACCATGAATCATAATTGACAGTAGAGCTCAGTATCATTTCAAGAGAGCTCAAGCTATCGACATGAGTTTTCATCCATCAGACAAGGACCAAGACCTTGGCTCAGTTCTGCACAATCCTAAATTTTATATTAGACATGAAAACAGCTGATAACAAATTAGAAAGTTACGAGGTAAAGAAATAACAATATCTAGCAAACAACACTACAACGACAACAAGAAACTGTCAAATGTTCAGCGACAAGTTCATTTCACTATGTCAGCCATAACTATGATTAATTATTAGCACGATATGAAATACCATTTGAAGGGTCAAATGGAGTTCCCCCTAACTTCCATTAGATAGAGAGAGAGCCCGGTATGGTAAACGTAATCAACACCAAGGATTCTTCTGCTACCTCTACATGTTGGATTATGGAGGAGCAGGCAATGCTTTAGGCTTTGGCTTGACTTCAACTTCATTGACGTTACGAACAAAGATGGCATCAGGTTCATGACTGGATCATAAAAAGAAATTCAGTAATCAAAATTAATAGAACATTCTCCAAAGCTGGACAGTAGAGATTTGATACTCACGGCACATCTCCCTCTTCAAACGTGTAGCTGGAGGCCACTGCCAACAGACGCCCATCCTTGCTGAAGGATAATGCTGCTATGCTAGTGGGATATTTGGGATACTGCAAGTGTAGGCAAAGAAATCAGTATTACCATTGTGCATAACAAAGAACGTGTACCCAAGCTGTATGCATGCTACTTTTAGTTTACCTGGTATAATCTTTTCTTGTTGTTTCCATCCCAAACATTCACAAACCCATCACAGCCTCCAGTAGCAAACGTCCCATAGCTGCAATAGATCAAATTTAGCAAATGGAATGCGGAATCTTTCATGTGTGCATATGTATGTGCTTTTGTGAGTGTGTGTGTAAGATAATGCAGTGTCAGGATAAACAATTACATGGGATGGAAAGCAATTGCATTGACAGGATAAACAGTGTCCCTTCCAGCCTCTGATTTCCTGTGGCATTTGAAAGCATACCTGCAAGAAAATTGATTCATTAGAAGACGGAAATGCAGCATAAAATTTTGTTTAATGACAACAATCATATTACGCATTTATTCAACACGACATGCACATGGAAATCCAAAGCTAATATGTAAGTTTGAATGGTCTGCCGCACATTTGATAAAAAATCACACTGAGGTCATAGTGCTATGGTAAACCAACATTCTGTCGCAATGATAAAACATTGACTATTACATGAAATTTTTTGCATGGGGATAATATAAAGCGTTAACTACAGAAAAACCCCTGTACAATCGCCCAATTGCTGATAGACCCCATGTACCTCTATGGTTGCAGACAGACCTTCTGGATGATCTTTTTGACTATTTTACCCTCAGGGTGTCTACTTGTCAAGAAGGAGAAAAAAAACTGTGAGGATAAAAGAGCCAAAAAAAATCACTCAGAGGTCTACCTGCAATAATAGAACTAAAAGGGTTCTATCCACAATTTGGCGATAGTTCAGGAGGTCTATCCACAACTGCAATTGCAAATTAATATAAATTTCAATTATATGAATCCAGAGCTTTGTGCTTTATAACGAAAAAAAGAAGCTCTAGTCTCTAGACACCTCAAAATTTTCTCTCTTGGTAGAAAATCATTTAGTGTGTGACCATGTTTACCTACTGAAATAACTAAAGAAAGAAAAAGTAATGTCTCCGTGCTGCTCAGTTTGGGAATCCATAAACGCATGATAGAATTCAACGTAGCACAAGTATGTCAATTAACTTACTTCTTTGCTTGGCCTGCCTCAGACAGATCAAAGAACTCCATTGCAACTCTTCCCTCCACAGAACTAAGAGCATAACCTGAACCAAGTACCAAACTAAATTAGATATATACATCTCAGATCAAAAGAAAGTAGTCACAGTAGGATATCTAAAATTATTCAAGATATGTATATTGAATTGAAACTCATTCAAGAGGTTTGTCGGCTAGCATTGAGCTTCTTATTACCTCTAGAAATCTTATTCATGGGCAAAGATTCATGTTCTGGGAACTCAAACCCATGTATCAAGTGGCCTCATTCATTCTACCAGTGAAAAGACATCCGGTAAAATGTAAACCACATGTTGCATATGGCCGACAAGATCTGAAAGCACATTTGTATATTCATATTTTTAGTTATTTCCAGGTACATTGATTACTGAACAGCATGGCCACCATGAACTTTTTCATGTGTACATTTATTTAAGTACCTACTCTTAAGAGTAAGCATAATCACCCATCAAAATTTGAGCAGTTAATCTAATTTAGTACAACTATATCATAAAGTCTAGGAGTTGGGCCAGGAGGTCGCTTAACAGCTTCACTTGTTTGTTTGCGTCAGAGCTATTTCACAAAGCAATGCAATCATAATGAAGAAGGGTAAAATCAATGCTATTATAAGGAACAAGGGATAAATGCTTGAAGAACACAGTACATCTGGGAGATGTATACTGCATATGGGAAAGAAGAATCACGTCCGAAAATAGAACATTCTTCTCTAAATTTCTGGATTGGATTCCCAAGCAATTCTTCACCAACAGTCTTATCCCATAGCCTCCATCTTAGACCTTTTATTACTGATATCCCTCCATCTTGCATGCAGGCCATTGTCTTCGATTTCCTGTGGTCTTCCCTCATGTTATGGAGGCAGGGAAAAAGAGGTAATATACTGAGAAAAGACCGGGATTAGAAGAGGCTATGATGAAGGTTGTCTGGTGGAGAAAAGCAGTGACTGGAAAAAGGAATCCTGATCTAGAAGCCATTACCTAAGCTCAACTCTTCTCATCATTCATCATCTGCTATGTTTTTATTGATCAGAAGCCACCTCAGGAATGCAAGTGGCTAGATCAAAAGAGTAGAAAATTGGATTTGAGCAAGAACATCATCTGCAAATGGAAAGGTGGATGAAGAATATTGAAGATAGGGAAGTTCAAGGATGAGGAGCTATTGATGGTAAGCCTTTGTGGAAATAAGACGAGCTACCGGGGAATAAGAAAAAAGGAAGATGCTGCGGATGGTTGTCACTGGTCAGAAACTGATCGAGCTCTGGTCAGCAAAGACAAACTGTGTAACTATAAAGGTTTGTGGCCACTGGTGAAAGCATATCAGGGGATAGCTACAGAAGAATGCTGAAGTAAAGCAACGTGGCCACATGCTTAAAAGAGAAGAAAGAGGATAAGTAATGGACTTGATACTGGATCTTATTACCCAGCAGTTAAAAAGATTATTTTTCATCTTATCACCCAGCAGTTAAAGGACCAATTATAAAATTTCATGTAAATGACTTAACATAGATCATTGCCCTAGATGAAACTCGTCTCTAGTTTTCTCCTAAATAATACATTATTTTAAAAAGCCTGCAAAGACAAACTGTAACTATAAAGGTTTGTGGCCACTGGTGAAAGCATATCAGGGATAGCTACACAAGAATGCTGAAGTAAAGCAACGTGGCCACATGCTTAAAAGAGAAGAAAGAGGATAAGTAATGGACTTGATACTGGATCTTATTACCCAGCAGTTAAAAAGATTATTTTTCATCTTATCACCCAGCAGTTAAAAAGATTATTTTTCATCTTATCACCCAGCAGTTAAAGGACCAATTATAAAATTTCATGTAAATGACTTAACATAGATCATTGCCCTAGATGAAACTCGTCTCTAGTTTTCTCCTAAATAATACATTATTTTAAAAAGCCTCCGCCTAGGCATATGCCTGGGCCTAGGCGGTATCTAAGCCGCCTAATTAGAGCCTAGCACCTAGACGATACCTAGGCTGCCACCTAGGTTTTGAGAGTGTTTAGGAGAGCATTTTCTACTTACGTGGACTGCACCCTTTAAGACTTAATCGTAATTTTTTGTGTTGCAACCTCCACGTCCTCCAACCTTCTTCAAACTCTTTTAAGCTCTAAATATGAACATCTCCACTACCTCCTCCAACCTTCAGCAAAACCTCCTTGACCACACTTAAATGAAGAAAGAAATCCGCTTAAACACCAATCCAGCATCTAAGCTTTCTATAACATTATCATCTACTATCAGTTATTGTAAATAAAAAATAAAAAAAGAAAACCTTTTATGCTCTAGGTGATACGAGTTGCCGTGCGAGCACTCTTGATCGCGGAATTATCAAGAGTGGGTAAAGAAGAAGAACGACAAAAGAACACAAGAGCTGAATTAGGGCGAAGGAAAATACCTTCTCTAGATTATGAGAATCAATTGGATTTTACAAATCTCTCTCTCACAATCTCTCTAGATCAAAGAACAACCTCCCTGATCTCTTTTCTGATTACAAACTGAGTTCTAAACCCTAGAAAAGTCGTGTTTCTATTTATACTAAACAGAAATCCCAACTGGAGCAGGAAACAGACCCAGGCCCGGATCCGCGACGCGGTCGACCGCAGTGCCCAAGTCGGTCGACCGGTCAGAACGACGAAATCTGGAAAATCGATTACAGGGTTCTCCGGTCGACCGCAGTGCCACCATCGGTCGACCGATCTCAGTCCCGAGACACAGTTGGGGTCCGTGCACGATGCGGTCGACCGCCGTGACCACGCCGGTCGACCGGACAGAGTCCAACTGTAATTTCTGCAGTTTTGATGAATCCTTTCGACTTCGTTGCTTCCAATGGTCTCGTCCACGACTCCTCTACTCTATTCTCAAGATACCATGAGAATCATCTATCCTCAAGCTCCCATGAGGATCGCTAAGCTCCCGAAGAGAAGATACACCCGTATCATGGGTCCCCCCTTTAGGAACGTGAAGTCCCATTCAAGTTAAAACTTCAGCTGAGGGAACTCGCGAGCCCCTCCTTCTCTGTTGAACCACTTGGCATTGCTAGGTACCTGACCTTGACGTCCAATGAGAAACGACTCCTTCGTCCCCCGCCTCGTCGTGGTCGTCTTCCGTTCCAAAATGCAATCTTCTTTCAGTGGCTCCTCTCTATCAAACCACAAGTCTTCAACATGCGGTAAGATCAACTTGTCATCACCTTCATCATCCAATAACGGAGGTTCAAACAACTTCAAGTACTCGGCATTGATCACCGAATACATGCCTAAGTAAGGTGGTAAATCTAAACGAAAAGCGTTGTCACCAATCTGATCGATAATCCGAAACGGACCATAACGAATAGGCTTCAACTTCTTCCCTTCTCCTTTGAGCCTCTCCTTACTCAATTTTAGCCATACCATATCGCCTTTACCAAAGTTACAAGGAACCCGATGTTGATCATGCTTCGCCTTGTACTTAGCTTGCGATTTCTTCAATTGAGCTTCAACCGTGGCATGAATATTTGCAATCTTCTCAAGAAATCACTGAGCACGTTGTCTCTCACTCCCCTCCTTGCCGTCCACTGTGGCTTCACTTGAAAACACAAGATCGAACGGGCTTGGCGGTAAAAATCCATAACAAGTCTCAAACGGTGACTTTCCGGAAGATCCATGAATTGCCCGATTAAAAGCAAACTGCAAATATGGTTCGCCCGATTGAAAGCAAACTGCAAATATGGTAAACTCTCATCCCAAGTCTTAGGATGCCTAGAATTATACCCCCGCAACATGTGCACCATAGTCCGGTTGACTACCTCCGTTTGTCCGTCTGTTTGTGGGTGAAATGCCGTGCTCTTCTTCAATTTGGTGTCCATCAAACTCCACAAAGAATCCCAAAAATGCCCGAGAAAACGGCTATCCCGATCCGAAATAATCGAACTCGGCAACCCAAAGTGCTTCCACACATGTTCGAAGAACAATTGTGCTGCACCCGCTCCCGTCACGGTCTTCTTACAAGGAATCAATATCACCATCTTGCTGAATCGGTCCACCACAACGTACAAATAGTCATGCCCGCGCTTCGTAGTTGGCAACCCTCCTAGAAAATCCATAGAAATGCTCTCCCACGGCCTAGAAGGAACCGGTAATGGTAGGTACAATCCCCTCTTTCTGTTAGAAGGCTTCGAAATACAACATAACTTACACCCTCCAACATACTTGGTCACATCATCAAGCATCCGTGGCCAAAACACATGTCGCCGTAGATTGAGAAGCGTTTTCTGAATGCCAAAATGCCCTTGCACACGCGAGGTATGTGCTTCCCGAATCCACTGCAACCTATCACCATCCTCCGGAATGCATAGTGATGCCCCACGATACAATAAGCCATCATCTCCAAGTGCATACTCCCCCCTTCGACCAGCCTTCGCCTGCTCAAACACACTACCGAAGTCTCTACTGGATGCATACAACTGAACATACTCAAAAGGAACCAAGGGCTGAATACGCGTCGCCACCAACAACGACCTTATCGGTGGGCGAGATAACATATCGGCCAACTCGTTCGTCGCCCCCTTCTTGTACCTAATAATGATGTTGAAAGCCATCAAATAAGACATCCACTTCATGTGTCGCGCCTGCTGTAGCTTCGGCTGGGCATAATAATGATGTTGAAAGCCATCAAATAAGACATCCACTTCATGTGCCGCGCCTGCTGTAGCTTCGTCTGGGCATGTAAGAACTCCAACGGCTTATGATCCGAATGCACGACCACCTCCTTCCCTAACAAGTACACCCTCCAATGCTTAATTGCTTGATATAGCGCATAGAACTCCTTATCGTAGGTTGGGTAGTTCGCAACAGCACCCGAAAACTTTTCAGAATGGTATTCCACCGGTTTCCCATCCTGAGTCAACACCGCGCCCATCGCATAATTAGACGCGTCGGTCTCTACCTCGAAAGTCCGCTGCAAATTCGGCAACGCCAACACTGGTGCCTCCGAGATCTTCCTTTTTAGCAACTGAAAAGCCTCCTCATGCGTCTTTCCCCACTCA